TCGCCGTTTCCCGGAGGGTGTGTGTTAGCGTGTCTGTGCTGCGACAGCAGCTGCATGGTTCTCGCTGGGGTAGTGAGACGTGGAACTAAGGCTGAGCCATCAGGATTAGGAGTGTGTGGCGGGGGGACGAATCCCAGGATGGCAGTCCTCATCTGTGTGGTGCGGGTGCCATGCCTGCTTGATGAATACCAGGTGAATACAGAGCTGCCCTAAAAACAGTTACGGGTTAGAGGAAATGTTACAGTCCTGGATTAATGCACAAGGGTCGAGTCTGTCTACGAGCAGCAGCCGAGGTTGCTCGGCCACAGTGGTGTGCAGTCAGAAGTGCATGGGGCTGGGATGGCAGTCAAGCCAGAACTCGTGTGTGTAAAGGAGGACGTGCAACAAGAGAGGGAGATGAGGCAGCGTCCTCCGTGCCGGCCTCTGGTGTGGCAAGTGGACTAGATGTGGCAAGAGGATGGGATGGAGGTGTGGCTGCTACTTCTTAAGGATGGGGGCTGGAAGGAAAAGAGAATGCAAGTTAGATCCATGCTCAAAAGCCCTTCCAGGGACCCAAGAACTCAGAAACCACGGAAAGATTCAGAGGGTGAAAAACCAAAACAAAATCCAATATAAAAGCAATAAAAGATAACCCAAGGGGCCAATCTTAGAAAGAGAGAAAGAGAGAGAGAGAGAGAGAGAGAGAGAGAGAGAGAGAGAGAGAGAGAGAGAGATTTGTGATCCAGCGTGTTGGGGGTAGCTCACAATGGTTTGGTACAAGAAACTAGGGTAATCAGGAAATGCTCAGCACTTGAACTGCTGGAATTAGGGAGGTTTAAACAAGCAACGAAAGAGTCTGTCTCAGCATGCCTGTGAGGCCGTGGGACATGGGAGTGGACGGGATCAATCAGGAAACCCAAGTGAGGTAAACTTCCTGTTCCTTAGGGCACAGGCTGCAGAATGGAGACAGTGTGAGGGAAGGTGGCTTATGAAAGCCACCAGGAACACTGGGGGGGGGGGGGGGGGGCGACACAGGATTTCTCTGTGTAGCCCTGGCTGTCCTTGTCCTTGAATTCAGAGATCCTCCTGCCTCAGCCTCCCAAGTGCTGAGATCAAAGTGCATCACTACACCTGGCCAAGATTTTTATAAATAAAAGGCGTTGACAGATCTAAATGACAACACATAAGGAGAGTCCGGGAGGTGAGAGAACAGCCTAGAGAAACATTAAAAAAGACAAAGCCATGAAAGAGGTCTGTCTGGGTTACTCAGACAGATGGGCACCATCTGTGTCGAAGCTCCGAAGGACGAAGTGTGCGGAGGAGTCCTAGGAGCCCGAGGAGTGGACCTCCAGGATACAACACAGGTAAAGACAATCAAGCCTGTCCCGGGGTGGCTAATACCCCCAGAGGAAGAAGGGAGGGTGCATTTCCCTCCAGTCAAAGGTCATCCTAAGGACAGAGATGATTCATCCAGCCAGGAAGTCTCCCAACAGTCAGGTACGGTAAATGGGGGGTCAAGAGCTACAGTGCAGACCCAGGGCCACGCTGATACAGAGTCATCAGGTGCAGCAGGGGACAGCAGGGCCACATTCACCCGTGGCCATGAGTAGGTCTGAGCAGATTAAGTCAGGCTACAGAGTTCATTAGGTGTGGAGAAATGTAGGGAGGCTCCCTGGAAGAGCTCCAGGATATGGAAATGGCTCAGAGAGAATGACTTTGGACTCCTGGGAGCTAATGACGTAACACCTCCTCTTTGTGCTGTGTATCCAACCTTGACCTGTGGAGGAAGCAACTGGTACAAACGATGGAACCTCTCCTGCTGTATTAGAGCTGATTATGTTTGACTTCCTGGTTGTGAACTTCTGGGGTCACCTGACACCCGCTGAGAACAGGGGACAGCTGACTTTCAGAGCCCTTCCCTAGGTTATCTTTGTAACCCACTATCTGTCGTGTGGTTCAGGATGTTGCCCTGCCCATCCCCTGGAAAGGTTTTGCTATATAGATGACATAATGCTAGCCTCTGAGTGCAGATTTGGAAAACCACTGGAGAGACAACCACGTGCAGTGATGGCACTTCCACTTACCTAACCCCGCTAACTAGTTAACTCAGTTAGTTAACTCAGTTAGTTAAAAGGAAAGAAAAAACATCCCTACTTGGGTGGAAAAGAACACTCCCAGAGGCCATAGGTTACTGAATGAAAACCTCAGTGCCAAGGGTGGGTTTCCTCGGGTGAGTCCTGGCCAGGGAAGTCCCTGGGGCCCCACAAACCGTCAAGGACACTCTCCACCCTGTTGAGCTGCCTGCAGCTGAGCAGTGTGCTCCACAGACTGCACCCCAGCTTTCGTGAGCTGTCACCATGCTGGGGTGACTGGTGATACATCATTTCTGCTCCTGAAGTAACCCCTACTCATACTTCTGTAGTGACCCCAGTAAAACTCACTGGTTCACCAAGTTGGACGCTGGTGGTATCTGTACTGTGGTCTGTCGAGGGCTGCCTATCTGGGGTGCATCTCCCCTGAAGTTTCTTTTCACAACAGCTGTCTCACTGGTGTCCCCATTCTCTTACTAGAGCCGTTCATAAAACAGAAGGCTTAAATGCTTGTAAAGCCCAGCTTATTTCTTTCTTTCACGGACAGGAGGCAGAGGCAGGTGGATCTCTGTGAGTTCAAAGCTAGCTTGGTCTATATAGTGGGACTCTATCTCAACATACTCCTCCAAAAAAAAAAAAAAAAAAGGGTTCGATTTTGAGTTTTTATGGAGGGGTAAAGTCTGTGTCTAGACGGTTCTGTGTTTGGTGTGTGGATGTCCCCTGGCCCAGCACCATGTGTACTAAATACCCTTCCTCCTCTGAACTATCTCATTCTCTTAGTGAGCACGCTTGGTTATGTTCAGGGGTGGCCTGGGGGTGGGGATGTGGGGGGTCTAGCTTTGTGTCTTCCATTCACACCACTGACGAATTCTTATATTCTTCCATGTGCTGTCTGGATTATGCTATAGCTGTAGACAAAATCTTTTTTTTTTTTTTAAAGATTTATTTCTTAATTTATTTCTTATGTATACAAGTTCCTGTCTGCATGTATCCTTGCAGGCCAGGAGAGGGTACCAGATCCCATTACAGATGGTTGTGAGCCACCATGTGGGTGCTGGAAATTGAACTCAGGACCTCTGGCAGAGCAGCCAGTGCTCTTAACCTCTGAGCCATCTCTCCAGCCTCTTTTCTGGTTTTCTGAGACAAGGTCTCTCTATTATGTTGCCCTGGCTACCTGAACTCACTATGTGGACCAGGCTGGCCTCAAACTCACAGAGATTCACCTGTCTTTGCCTCCTAAGTGCTCAGGCCTTACGTGGACCCACACTGGGAGTCATGTGTAACGAGTCTTTCTCTGTCCCACCAGCCACCTTCCAACTAACAACATGGAGACTTCTTATTGATTAGGAAAGCTTGGCCTTAGGTTAGGCTTGTTTCTAACTAGCTCTTTTTTTTTTTTTCCGAGACAGGGTTTCTCTGTGTAGCTTTGGAGTCTGTCCTGGATCTCACTCTGTATCCCAGGCTGGCCTTGAACTCACAGAGATCCGCCTGCCTCTGCCTCCCAAGTGCTGGGATTAAAGGCATTTGCCACCACGGCCCGGCCTAACTAGCTCTTGTAACTTAAATTAACTCATTTCTCTTAATCTATGTGTTGCCACGTCGTGACTTGTGGCTTACCTCTCCCCTGCATGTCCTGCTTCCTCTGCCTCTGGCTGGGGACTCCTCCTTTCTTTTTCCCAGAGCTCTCTCTGTCTGGAAGTCCCACCTAAACCTCCTGCCTAACTATTGGCCGTTTAGCTTTCTATTAAACCAACTGCAGTGACATCACATCTTACACAGGTAATCAAATACCTCGCAGCACTGGGATTAAAGTGTGTGCCACCACACCTGGTTCCACACAAAGACTTATGCCCAAGTTTCACATCTAAGTGTTCCATATTTTGGATGCTAAGTCATACTTTGTTTTTAATTTTGAGATCAAAACAACAAACACCCCCGCCCACCCCATTTATACTTTTTTCCACATATTTCAAGTATTTGTGAAAAACAACAACAACATAAAACAAACCCTATAGTGCCTGAGATTTGTCTTAAAATAACTAAAAGTACAGTGAAACAAGATTGTCCAAACCAGGGCTGGAGATGGTTCAGTGGTTAAGAGCACTGGCTGCTCCTAGAGAGGTCCTGAGTTCAATTCCCAGCAACCACATGATGGCTCACAACTCTCTACAATGAGATCTGGTGCCCTCTTCTGGCCTATATGAATACATGCAGGCAGAATACTATATATAATAAATAAATATATTTAAAAAAATTGTCCAAACTGAACAGAATAAAGCTGAGTTGAATGTCATTTTTTTTTGGTTTTTTGAGACATGGCTTTTCTGTAATAGTCTTGGCTGTCCTAGAACTTGCTTTGTAGACCAGGCTGGCCTGGAACTCACAGAGATCCACCTGCCTCTGTCTCCCAAGTGCTGGGATTAAAGGTGTGTGTCACCACTGCTTGGCTGAGTTTTATATTTTGGGTTTCATTATACTATTTTGTTATTGAGCTTTGTGTAAATCTAAGAAATTTAAACTAAAAAACTAATTCCATTTGTACAGTGCTTGTCTAGTGTGCTGGCTAGTTTTATGTCACCTTGACACAAGCCAGAGTCATTTGGGAAGAGAGAACATTTGGGGGGGGGGGGGGAAGACACTTGAAAACATGCCTCCAAACAGACTGTATCACTCTCTTCTGGACATAGGTAATTTTTGACTAATTTGGGGTGACAGAGCTAGTTCAAGCTCTTCTTTCTTCCTTTGCTATTCATACCATTGTGGTGATTAATAAACATTTTGCTGAGGTGAGTATGGGCACAACACTGTCACAAGTGACAGCCAAACATCTTGTACAAGGATATTTTTCACACGCTTCAGCCCTCTGCTGGCCTTGCTCACTGGATCACTGTTAGCAATGGAATTACTGATGGGCACATCAGGATTACTTACAAGAATATCCGTATTTTCAAAATAGCTCCTCCAGTATGGCCTGATTTTCCTCTGTCTGCCAACGTCCCATACATTCAGTTTAAACCCTTGTGACTGTACACTTTTGATGTTAAAACCCTGAAACAGATGGGGGTGGGACACAAAAAGACCAATTAATTCTTGCAGTTACATTTAATAGCTCACAAAAACTGGGGAGAGAGCCTGGGCTTCAGGTATACAACACATAGGATGCACCACTAAGCTATACTGCCAGATACTTTTATTTTCTTTTTAGGGTTTTTGAAACAGGGTCTCACTAAACAACTCTGGCTATCCTGGAACTCTACCAGGCTAGCTCCAAATGCCTGCCTCTGCCTCCCAAGTGCTGGGACCACCGCCTGGCTAAGGCACAGGAATCTTTTTTGTTTGTTTGTTTTGTTTTGTTTTTCAAGACAGGGTTTCTCTGTGTAGTTTTGGTGCCTGTCCTGGATCTCTCTCTGTAGACCAGGCTGGCCATGAACTCAGAGATTCACCTGGCTCTCCCTCCTGAGTGCTGGGATTAAAGGCGTGAGCCACCACTGCCCGGTCAACATTAGAATCTTTTTTTTTTTTTTTTTGGTTTTTCGAGACAGGGTTTCTCTGCGTAGTTTTGCGCCTTTCCTGGAGCTCACTTGGTAGCCCAGGCTGGCCTCGA